GGGGGGGGGGGGGGTCTGGAGGAGTTTCTGGAGATAGACAGGGACCTGCTGTAGCTCCTTCCTCCATCTTAAAGCTGGTTTTTGGGGGCTTTAAAACTGTTTTGGGGGGCTTTACATATGTTTTTTTGTGGCCTTAAAGCAGTTTTTGGCTTTAAAAGCTTTTTGGGGGGCTTTAAAGCTGTTTTTTGGGCTTTAAAAGCTTTTTGGAGGGCTTTAAAGCTGTTTTTTTGTGGCTTTAGAGCTGTTTTGGGCTTTAAAAGCTTTTTGGGAGGCTTTAAAGCTGGTTTTTGTGGCTTTAAAGCTGTTTTTGGGCTTTAAAGGAGTTTCTGAAGACAGGCAGGGACCTCCTGTAGCTGCTTCCTCCATCTTGGACCAGAACTATCTGATGGTCTTAAGCTGGAGCAGCTCTGCTGGACCAGAACCGGCTGAGGACCGGAGGGACCAGCAGGGACCTCTGAGAGGGTTCAGGGAGCCGGACCCTGAAGACCTCTGTAGGCATCAGGGTCCTGGGTTTGATGCGGGCAGCCTGGGGTAACAAGGGGTAACTGTGGGTAACCGGGGGTAACCAGTGATGCTCGGTGATCAGAGGGGGGACGTGAGAATATTTGGGCTGATTGAAGACCAGATGTTGTCTGGTCTGAGATGACAGCAGCAGCAAACAACATCCAGATGTTTTTAGCCACATCCAGCTGTGGCTAAAAATAAAAAAACAAAGGAGCCTTTGAATATGACGTCTTCTGGGCTCATCCTTTTTGGGTTTGGTCCTCACAAATATGAAGGGTAGAGGGTTAGGGTTAGTGTTAGGGTCAGGGTTAGGTTTAAGGTCAGGGTCAGGGTTAGGGTTAGGACATCGTTTATCTTCCGATTTCGTATAGACGGTAAAGTTTCGTTTCCACCTGAGAAAGCTGCTAGTCACATGACCTAATCAAAATGGCCGACTTGGATGTGGGAGGAGTTGGATATCCAACCGAGGCTCCTACAGGCTGCAGGCTGCCCACTAAATGTCCCTGAACTCTGCAAACTGGTTGGTTAAAAGCTTTAAAGAAGAAGAAACGCTTCTAAATAAGACGTGTAGTTCAAAGTGATCAGTGTCCATCCCTCATTTTCTGCTCATATTTTTACCCTCGCCCACACATTTTCACGTTAAAAAGAAAAAAGCACTCGGGTATTGTTGCCTGGCAGCTGTCCCTCCTCACTAAAACACACCCCTGCTGTAATATTTGTATATTTAAAGACCATTTTTTGAGCTAAAACTTATTCCAGTGACACGTCGTGTAATTTGTTGTCATTCCCCCGATTTTAAAATGTTTCTGTAGAATTTATTCCCCACCAGGATCCTTAACACAGGATGATTTTTACACATGTGAGGTGTAAAAGGGGAAGTCCTCTTTTTAAAGAAAAGCCGAGCAGAAACTCGCTGTGTTAGCTAGCTGCTCACACTGAGGGATTCTGGGTAAAATAACACACTGCTACGATGACATTTAGAGAGCGGTGTTAATGTTCGGTCCTGACACCACCTGCTCACGCACGCTCATCCCGTCACCACGGCAACCGCGGCAGACCCTCATTAACAGGGATGAGAGGCTCGGTGTGTGTGTGTGTGTGTGTGAGCCTCTTTGACTACACTTGTGGGGACACAAAGTGGGGAAAATTTTTTTGTTCTTTTTTTTCCAACCCAGCTGCGAAAAAGAAGCCGTTTTCCGTCATTTTGAAGTTTTCTTTTTACACGCGGGTGGGGAAAAAAAAGAAAATAAAGATGGTATTAACACAGATTAGTGTGACTGCCATCCTACTAATAATTAATCAGTTCATTTGCATGTCTTCATTTCCTCAAAACGGCTTCTGCAGCAGCTCAGTTTATTCTGATGTTCCTTCTCACTCTCTTTTCTTTTCAAGAATTACTTCTCCACTTTAATGACACGCTTAACTTTTTGATGGTTGTGCATTAAGGCGTTATTTCCTTATTTCAGGGACTTTGGTGTGTGTATCTGAGGCTTATTTTAGACTTTAAAAAACAACTTCCCAAGTTCAGAAAGAAGCATTTAGATTAAATTGATAGAGTTTACAGAGTAAGCGGTACATTTGTAAGACCCTCTGGAAGAAAATGTGGTTCATTTATATATTATATATTTATATATTATATATTTACAGGCAGTTGAACTGGACTGAAATCTGAAACATTTCTAAGCTATTTTAAGATGCAATATTCTAGATCAAATATTAACTACGAAAAAAATTATTTGAACAAAAATATTCAGAATAATGATTCCTAATATTCAGAGCAAAGTTTTATACTAAATGTAGAAAATGAATTGTACAAAAAAACCCAACAACAATGAATCATAATTTAAAAGATAAAAAATATAATACATCTGTTTCTGAACAGACAGGTCTGTGTGTGTGTGTGTGTGTGTGTGTGTGTGTGTCTCTGTCTGTGTGTGTGTGTGTCTGTCTGTGTGTGTGTGCGTTTGTTTTGTGTCTGTGTATGTGTGTCATTGTATGTGTTTAGTGTCTGTGTGTGTGTGTTTGTGTGTGTGCATGCATGTTTGTGTGTGTGTGTGTGTGTGTTTGTGTGAGACGATGCACACTGGCCGGGGCATGACAGGAATGTACACACATGGGATAGCAACAGTAACCAGGAAGTGTTCCGTGGTGGTGTCATGTGACCTGAGTGTTTCCATTAAACACTCGCTGGGTAATTATTAGCCCCGGTGGGGGGGGGGGCAGGATCTCTCCATCTGCGCGTGCGTGATTGATGGGTGCGCGCCTCCAGGTGACGGCGCCGCGTGTGGTGGGTGCTGCGCTGTGATTGGCTGCCGGGAGTGACGCGGTAACTTGTGTTTGCAGGCAGACAGACGGTCAGGATGCGTGAATACAAGCTGGTTGTTTTAGGATCAGGAGGCGTCGGGAAGTCAGCTCTGGTAAGTCCCACACTCCCCTGAGCTGTCCAACAGCAGGCCTGCTCCGATGATGCTTTTTCCTGATGTCAGTAAACACAACACCACTGATCAGAGACACCCTGTTGACCACATGCTTTTTTTTTGTTGCTCCAACATGTTTCTTAATTTCTGTAAACACATACTTGAGCACAAGAATCTCGAATGAAAACAAAGAAAAACGAAATCTTCCGTTTGTTTTGTCAAAAGTTTTATTTAAACACCTCAAAGAAGTTATTTTCAGCATCCTTTCTGACATTTTATTCAGAAAATCGAAGCAAATCCCCGTTTTGATGCAGCAACTCACTCAGTAAAAGTTGTTGTGGAGGCAGAAACAACAGTAGAAATGATAGAAACAGCTTCTGGAAGCTTCTCACCTGTTAGCAGATCACCTGTAGACAGGTGAGGGTGCCTGGACTGGGTATAAAACTAAAGGGAAAGGGGACCTAACAAAGGGTCATTAAAGGCAGCGGGTGGAAAACTGGACTGTGGAACTACTTTAACTGAGTGTCAGCTGCTTCAGGGTTCACATTTGCTTCTTTTTTCTAAATGAAATAAACATTTTGAAGACTTCCTGAAAGAAAATGTGGTTTATTTATGTATTATAAATAATACATGTATTCAAATGTATACATTATAATACATGTAATATTTATAACACATGTATTATTTAAAATACATAAATAAACCACATTTTATGCGCAGTTTACGAGTTTATTTTTTTTATGTCCAATATTATAACATTGAACTGAACTTAAATCTGAAACATTTCTGAGCTATTTTAAGATGCAATATTCTAGATCACATATTAAGTAGGATTTTTTTTAAAATCATTTGAATGAAATTATTAAGAACGAGTAAAGTTTTATACTAAATGTAGAAAATGAATTGGACAAAAAAAAAAACTCCACAATAAATCATAATTGAAAGGATAAAAATATCGGTTTCTGGACTGAACACATTTTCTAATAATGAGGTTAATAATTCAAAAGTAAACTGCATTTAAAGTATACGTGCATGATCTGTACCTATAAAATGTGTTTAAAGTGCATGTACAATAAACATATAGGAGGATAAAACGGAGAAAGCTGGGAAAAATTAGCTAAAACGGGAAACTGTGACGTGTTGTATGCTGTGTTTCCATTGTGTTGTGTTGTGGGTTTGTTCATCATAACCTACTGGGTGCTGCTGGGTTTTATGGGGTCCAACAAAGTGTTTATTGGGGGGGAAGTGAGTGAAAGGCCGGCTGTCCCCCCCCCACAAAGAGCTGCTTCTGTCCAGCCCATAATGGGGACGGGTCAGCGTGGAGCTCTATGTCCACTCCACTAACGACTTCCACTGTGTGCAGACTGTCCAGTTCGTTCAGGGAATCTTCGTGGAGAAATACGACCCGACGATAGAGGACTCCTACAGGAAGGTAGGCCCACTCCACCCACCACATTTTGGGGTTTCTTTCCATCTTTTCCCCCTCTAGAGGAGGGAAAAAGATCATTTCAAACGGCCTAAGCGCCCTCAGATAGCAGGTCTGGGGATAAATACTCAACCCTCTTTTTACCTGACAGACCTTAAATTATAGAGAAAGGTTGATATAGTTCAAATAAATTATAGTTGGGTTAATATATATAGTGGGGCTAAGTGGACTAGAGGTTGTACAGGGGCAGTTTAAGATGTTTACATTTGCATTAGGATTGAATGATTATCCAGAGTGGCCCTCTGATGGCTAATAAAACGACTATCATTCCCTCTGTAGTTCAGGTTGTGGAGGTCTCAGGTCCAGCTATATTTTGCTCTTCTGTAATACAGCTAGTAACGATTGTTCATAAAATCTCTTTTAAATGAAGAAACGATTCTTTGTGGCCCTATATATATATATATATATATATATATATACCTCCTGCCCCCATTACCACTTACACATGAGCTGAACCCTGGCTCATTCATTTATTAATTATTCTAAATGGTCTTAATGGTTTAAAAGTTTTTCACTTTTCACATTTAAAAAATAGTCTTTGATTTCTCTCATTTAATCTCTATTGTTTTACTTGTTCAAATCATTTGATTTCTTCTGTTTATTTTTTTTATTACATACACATTTTTCCTCGACAGGGATTTTCGGATGGATGGATGGATAGATAGATAAGAATAATTAAAGAAAAGATAGATGGTAAATAAAAATAATTAGATAGATAGATAGATAGATAGATAGATAGATAGATAGATAGATAG